CTGACGCGATATGATTGTGGTGACTGACATTCACGCACGAAAAGACATTTTCGTGTCCAGCTAGGGGTTACACGTGTGAACCGTAGAGGTAGCACTGAAACATGAACCGTGGCTGTAGACCTGGCCTCGTAAGAAGGAGGTTGTAATTCATCTGTGTCTGCGCGTACAGGCAGCCCACAGTGCTGTGGGTGGTAAATACAGGTGAATGTTCAGGTGCACCTAAAACTGTTGTTATATACACGCCACACTCCATGTGCTGGTGTCGAATGGAGAGGTTGTTGCTAAAATCACACTGCCGCAGGGAATTGTTTAAATATGCTATGGTGTGTACACTAAAATTAATTTGGCAAAGAATCCTAAGTCGGTCTAAATTCGCCCTTGTTGTATGTTATTTGTGATTTTTTGTGTTGCTGGCATCGTGGGATACGTTCCATTTCTGAGTGGTCAGGATTGCCACTTCTGGTTGTGCAGATCTTTGTGATCATGTAATTCTTTGCTGACATATTGGTGTTGGCTGCCCCAGCACGGACATCGGACGTCTGTGTTGTATTGTGGTTTTTAAGTCTGTGCAAAAGTGCTAAGAAAGGAAAAAACCCCGGCTGTCTGCTGACTCGTTGTGTCTCTGTGTGTGAAACAAAACCTGCAGGTTCTGTGTTGTACTTTTCTGTTCTGTTCCGTTCTGGTCTGTTCTGTGCATGTATGACGGTGTGTTCAGGTGTGTGTGTGTGTGTGTGTGTTGGTAGAGGTGGATTGGCTGCCGTCTCGTTGTGTTCGTGTGTGTGAGTGAGCCAAAGGCTCTGAGTGTGTGACTCGGCCGAGATCTCTGTGTGTGTGTGTGTAAACGGAGGAGTGGTGATTTGCTTCAGGGGCTGCCAAATGTTAGCAGGCAAAGTAATTTTAACATATGCCCTTACCTACAGTTTAATTGTATTGCTGACAATTTTTGTATGGAACTCTTTGGCGTGCTCCCAGCCTGTTTTACTAAGCCAGTAAACAAAACGACTTAGATAGAATGCTAGGGTAGAACAATGAAAGATAGCGACGATTTGGCTTGATAAGACAGGGGGATGGTTTGGTAAGGCTGCAGCCCACCAACAAATCAGATAAGAAAATAATATGAGAGGTTAGAAGAAAGGAATCTTTGTTTACATTTAATTTCTAAATTCGTAATGTTCAAAATACTTCTTACAACTTGTCTAACAAGAAATGAGCGAATCACAATTGATGTGACTCACATTAGATTGGGTTTGTTTTTCCCTTTAATCATCCAGGATTTTCCAAGATTTTGGTATTTGGTTTTACTGTTCCTCAAATGCTTTATTATTCTTTAGATGGATCCATCATTCTTTCTATGTGTTGAGATATAAATTAATTAACTCCTTCAGTTCTAGAGAACAATCAGAGAAGTGGGTCTCAGAGGTGTTTCACGCGATTGCCCCTCAAATTAAACTAGATATTCTGATCTACAGCCCTTTTATTATTTTATTAAAATAATCAAATACCCTTTTTTACAGATCATGCAGTTTCATTTACCTAAGTAGTATTGATGGATTTGACCCCGAGTTACAGAATTAGAAGGGAAAATTATTGTAAATCATGCTTTTGTGTTAATGAGGTACAAAACCTTATAAATAGCTTTTCTCAAATAGTTGTTAACTTTTATTTCATCTCACTCAACAGTTCGGCTGTTTTGTAGCAATTTCATTGTTTTTCTTTAATTTCTTTAATTTCCCCAGATTGACTGGTGGAATAAGGAGTGTCCCTGGGTTATTAGTGTCTTTTGTTTGGGTCATCAGGATTAAATTGAAAGGTTTGACTGCACTGTAAACCTTTAAAACCTCCTTTTGTTGCATGAAGTTTAGTTCCTGTATGTTGTTCCCACATGTGTGTGAAGCCCCACAGGGGGTGATGGGACTGATAATGTGTGTGCCAGCTTTATGATAAAGATGACCTCTTTGATCTAGTCCTCCTATTGGTTTGTAACGCCCTCCTGTGAAGAAGCTGTTATCTGACTCCCAGAAACGGCTGGTTCTGAAGAATTTGTGTGTCTCTCCAAGGCAAATAAATTCAAGCTTGTCACCATTTGGGGTTCTTTTTGTTTGTAATTAATTATGGCAAACCTTACTGATTTCTTTTATGCTAACCAGACATCAAGTTTACTTAAGAGAAATTAACATAGAAAATGGAGTTTAAATGGGGGAAATTTTGAGAGCAAATGTTCCACTCTATTCAACCTCTGGGTTACAGCAACAGCAACAGTTGGTAAACATAGAGATTCATGAAGTGTTAATAAAACAAATTGGGCATCTTTCAGGCTCTAAAGGTTGTTGTGTATCCATGGTGAATTCATCTGCTGCTCCGTAAGGAACTGACAGAACTTGATTAACAGGTGACAAAGACAAAGATGACATTGGCTGACCTGCAGTGGTTTTCTGCGGACAACACCAAGTTCACGGACACAAGTAACTTTGCACCCCCATCGACCTCACCTCCCAACAACCAGGAAAGTACTTGATTCCAGCACAAGATGGTTGCTATTTCATGCCCTGCTACTCACTGCTAATGACCCAAATTACACTGGGTCCAGTTTCTGTGCTCTCCGAATGCAGGAATGGCTCGCTCAGGAGGAAAAAGGAGACATAAAGACTTTGGAAAGGGAAGGTCACCCAGCCATCACCAGCAGGGGGAGTCTGATTCCCCTGTGCAGCAGCTGTGACAGTTCATGAGGAGGTGGAGACTGCTGACCTGCAGTCTAAGATGGAGAAGGAACTGAGCTGACCACAAAACCTGCTGTAGATCAGTCAGCTCAGAGGTCCCAAAATGATGTCATCAACAGCCAGGTGGTATCTCCATCATGCAACAACAAGTTCCTCCAGCCTGCAGGACGACACAAGAGCTGAGCACACAGTCTGTGACCAAGACCCAGTGCAGTGCATCACACCTGGACTGGAGATGAGGTGCGGGGGTCAAATATCAAGTTCAGGGGGGACCAGGTCAGTCAGCACACTGATAATCATCTGTGACAAACACTTTGAAACCTGTTCAGTTCTACAAGCCGTGGTTCACAGCAAAGGAGGAAACAACAGATGTGGAAAAGTTTCAGATGCAATTCCTGGAGTTCCGCAAGTGTCCAGCTCCTCACCTTGAAATTTAATCATCTTCTGTGTTATATGACATGCAATTTTCATGCATTAGGTCCATGATGGGTTTAATGGTCATTAACTCTATCTGGTTTTGATGACTACTGATGTGGGTTAGCTTAATAAAGCAAGGAACTCAAGATATTATATGGGTTTTTGGTGTCTGGCTTATTGTTGAGCTAAATTGAGCATTCCAAATTCCAGGTTGTTAGGTGTGTCATAATTCCAAGATAATGTGTTTTATTTTTATTGTTTCATCTTTTCTTGCTCAAAAAGTTACATTTCAGGGGGGAATGATAGGTATTTTCTGTATTTAATGTACCTTTTTGAGGCCTAAAGAACGTTGCAGGACATGATAAGTATTTGTTTAAACGAAAGGTCATTGATCTTCTTTGATCACATTTTAGAGTGGTGAAGAATGGCCTCTGTGATCACTTCCTGAGACAAGATGAAGGTCCAAACAATATGTGTTGATTGAGTTACCCCTGTCAGCTGATTCTGAAGAATGTTGATTAAGTTACCGGTCAGCTGAGGAGTTGTGTGTGTATTTTGACTGTGTAGTTCCTCTGTAAGCCTGCTGTGCTGTTATCTCTGGAATATGGTTTCCTAGGAGATGAGTCTGTAACTTTGAAACTCAAGGAAGGCCCGCCCTCCATCCCATTGTTCAATAAAAACCTCTGTTGAGCTGAGAGGGGTGGGGGAGACGATGGAAACAGCTCCGGAGGGAGTTGTGCATCGCCTCCTCTCCACTCTTCATGAGACAGTGTAAATTGAACTCCTCTTTGTATTTGGTGTGTTTATTTCAGGTAAAGGGTTATGGAAACCACAGACAACCCAACATAATCGATCACAAATTGGATTTGTGTCCAGACAATTCCTCTGAACCAGCAAAACAACATTCTATGTTTTGCTGCGTTAGGATTAATGGCGGACAGAGCAAACCCTAAATGTCCAGTCCAATTTACAAAGACGAGACCGACACAGCCTCCATGATTCACGCCCGAAACCTTTTCCTGTTTGTTTTGCTCCATGTCAACAAAACGTTCCATGTTTAGGACATCACCGCTGATGGAGTTAGCATTTCACCATATCAGGAAATCCTGGATGTTGTCTTTAATCTTACATTTGGAAAATAAGAGTCACGTTTTGCATTATTAAACAAAGAACTGCAAATATATATAAAGTCTTTCTCTAAAATTATACATTTGTTTATTTGTAAGAAAAGACAGAACCTTCAGGATTAAAGTCGCACGTTTATCAATGCTGTGTTCTTGGTCATTTTTGCTTTTATGGAATTTTATTCTTGGGATTTTAGGACATTTCTACATCACCACATCCTGTTGTTGTCTAAATAATTTAATTCCTTTTGAAATGTCTTTTATGTTTAAATGAACCTCAAACCAGAACTGTATCCCTTCACACCAAAGTTGACAGAACTGCATCGACAAGTCAAGACAGAAATCAGAACATTCAAAAATTCTCTTTAAATTTTTCACATTCTGGATTTGTGATCCAGATCATCCCAGATTCAGCCTCTGTTTCTTGTTCTTCCTGTCTCTGCAAACCTACTTTGATTATCTGCAGTGACAGAAAAATGCATCGAACCAACACTGAGTTCAATCCCACCTCAGAGCATAAAGAACGGTCCCGTTGGGGAAGATTCGGATCAGTCTGTTTTCCACTGTGATATCGTGGAGAAATGACTTCTTGGAGTCGACGATAAACGTGTCTGGGACCCAGAGGAGTTCCACCAGCCGCCCGTCCAGGCTCAGGCTCTTGTTGCCCTCAAACACCAGACGCTCATCCGTCCAGCGCTGGCGCAGGAATATGGTGGCCGTGTAATCCTGCAGCAGAGATGAAGAGGACAGCGCGGTTGGCAGCAGAAGGCTTGGTTAACTTTACTATTGTGAAAAGTTTTGTTATTGATGGTGTCGAGTCCTGCTCTTCCTCAGGCATCATGTATCCCTCTGAGCCAGCAGGCTAGGTTTGGTGCAGGAGGCTTTGCTCTTGCATCAGGTGACTAATCTGTTTATTTAGGGTTCCAAGCCCAACGGGCAGGGAACCCTATTGTTTTTCTACGGATTTTTCATTATTATTTATTCTTCTTCTTCTCTGCTAAAACTGTATGGGGGCAGGAGCCTGAAAGTGCCAGGAAAAATCTGATAGAAAATCCTGACCGCTACTCAGATTCGAAAATTTGGACCCCGAGTCACCTAGGTGGCGCTATTGCAGAGGTGAACATGTTTCAGCTACTAGCTCCCAAACCATAGGCCCTACAGTCAAAAACTTTATATGTCCATGATCCTTGGATGATTCTGCATCTTTTTTGTATTGGCCACGAGTGGCGAAGGTGAGGGCGGGACCGGGTGGGCGACTGGCACTGGATGGCTTGGAACCCGTTGATAACTGCTTGCAGTTCTAGTTGTTCTCACCACGTTGCATAAACTATGCCACTGAGCTTCTGTTACCCACACACCTTTGAAGAGGACAAAGTCCACATTCTGGACAGAGAAGACAGATGGTGTGAGGGAGAAGTAAAAGAAGCTATCAATGTCAAACGTAAAAACCCCACTTTAAAAAGGGGAGGGGCTTAGATTTCACCTTTCCAGTACCTATAGAGCTCCGAGAGTTGACGTCACTTCTCCCGGCATGCAACAGTTCAAATCGAAACAGCGCCATATTGGCATGCAGAAGCCAGCATCTGGACCATTTGTTAATGTCAGAAAACTCAATCAAACGGGAAATACGATAGATTCTTGTTGTGCCCCAGGATGCAGAACAGACGCGGACGACATAAGGAATGAGCCATCTACAGGATTCCCCAAGATCCAGAGCGCCGCAAATGTTGGATCATTGTAATAAAACGCACTAGTGACCGGGCTAAAATGAAACTGTGGGATCCTGAGAGTAAAGGTTTTCGCTTATGCAGCAACCACTTCATATCAGGTACTTAAACCAACGTTTCCTCAACTGTGTATGGTATTTATTTTAAATGCTTTTATTACGATTCTTAGTGGGCTTCCTAAACTTATTTTGGCATGGCTTTTTCTGTCTTATTACTCATAGCAACAAGTAAACATCACGTAAAACGTTGCCTCGTGAGTTCTGCATGCTGCCGTTTACGTGTTTTATGATCACAGCAATTAACCGGCTAAGCTGTATTTAATTTTTAAGCAATGGTTGATCAATTGTCAGATCACACATAAAAAGCACTTTGGATTGCTATTATCTGTCTCACCGAGACAGATCTCAGACAGATCCTCAGACGCTCCTGCCTGACATATTTATTTTATTCACGGAAAAAAATGAGACTAGTGATTTCTCTTGGCGTACAGTTTATACATTCAAATAGCACAGCACTCTATTTAAACGACTTATGTGTAAATCTGTTATTTGTCCATCCATCCATTTTCATCCGCTTATCCGGAGTCAGATTACGGGGGCAGTAGTGTCGAGAGGACCAGACTTCCCTCTCCCCAGCCACTTGGGCCAGCTCCTCCGGGGGAATCCCAAGGGGTTCCCCGGCCAGGTCCGGTAAGAAGTCCGCTCCGACAGCTTCTGGCGTTTTTAAAAAGTATCCCAGGGGCACGGTAAGGGTCAGAGATGTTTAGTCTATTTAATTTCTGATGATATAAAACGATTTCTTCGGTTTTAAAGTGTGAAGTAAACTCAGACGAAGTAAAATCCAAGCAGATCCCGTTCATGTTTACGATCCGTGTTTGTTTACCTTTTTTTCCTGCCAATATGGCGTCTACTAACTGAGAGTCATGTGGGGTCCGGAGCTCTATACACACAAGTGTGTGTGTGTGTCTGTTTCTGGTTGCTTTAACCTGGTGAGAAATATGTTGTTGAACTATTTGTTGCTTACCTTCCCCTTAGGCATTGCCTCATTATTGATTATTGTTGGTTGGGGGGGGGGGGGGGGGGGGGGGCTCCGGGGAAAGGCCTCAGTCTGAGCCTCGGTCTGGCCTGGAAACTGTTCCACCATTTTCAGTCTCTCAACTTAGACCATTAGCTGTAGTGTTTGTGCGTTCTTTTTGGATATTATTTGTGCAATTGTTGGACAAAATGACTTGCTGTGGCATTAACTGCACTAATAGAGCGTCCAAGGAGTCTCCACTTCATTTTTATCACTGAGTAAAATTATATTTATGTATTTATGTCGATGATTTTACGTCACTGCTGCTCTTGCACTAGCCGAGCTTAGATTTTAACATGTACTGTTTAACCATGAAATTTAGATGTAATAAACGGTAAAATAATTAACAGGGTATATGTCGATGGGTAAAACCTAAAACCCAGTGCATTTAACATAAAAATGGGTTGAAATATGACATGTTGGTGGAGCTCTCGGAGGGAGATTTCTGTGTTCCATTCTTCCACCCAGTTCTCCCCAGCGGTCAGCCCGGCACATCTCTGACCACTTCGGCGCCTGCCTGCTGTGCGGGCTGACCGCTTGTGGAGCTCTCTGACTCGGAGAGAGACCTGACCACAGAAATACTGCAGCTCAGTGAGTTGGTTGATAGTGCTTGATGTTAGTTTCCAGAAGTCTGTATGCCATCAGATAAACTTGCTAGTTTTTTATAATTTTTGCACATTTGTAAAATAGTGGTGGTGGGGATCGACTAAATAACTAATTTGTCCATAAAGAGCCCCGACTGGGTGCCCTGTTCTCATGGGAACTAGTGCAGTTTAATAAAATGGAAATTAGTTAATAAAATTGATTATTAAAAGGTGCATATCCTATCCAATAAGGCGATAGACTCAAGTGGTTTGTTTTATATTGTTTTTTATAAAGTATGCATTTTGTATTACTCTTTATCCTAATTTTAGACCTTTTACTACAGGCCATGATAAGCTATTAAGTATTCTAAACCCATATGCTTAAGTAGTTCTTGGTATGAAGTTTTCCTCTAGGTGATCCAGAGAGGCTTAACCTTTGGGTAAGCAACCACAGAAGAGAGTGCTGGACTCCCAGTTCACACTCCCGCTTTGAGAGTCATCACTTCACCACGGACTCCAGGGTACAAACACATTACTTCATATTTTGGTTAAGATTGAAAAAATTGAAGCATTAGCTGTATAATATACAGATGTTACATGAAGTGTAACAAGAAGAAAACTTTCCCCTCCCTTGAACTGTCTGTGACTAGGGCTGTTTAGATGGGAAACAATCACGTTATTAATTTCCATCTAATTCTATGGATAATTATTCTGACAAACATATTAATTTTTTGTCAGTCTTTAATGTATGTATTGGGATGAATGACAAATATTCATTTTAAACTAAAACGTTAGGCATTTAAGGAGAAATTAACAAAATAATAAACATTCTACTGTTGTCAAATAAATCAAACTGTAATTAAAATATATATTTTCAAAGTGTCGATTCTGGATAAAATCTAACTGCATATGCTTTATAAATAACAAACACTCTCCACATGGCTTTTACACACACACACATGCATGCACGCAAGCACGTGCACACACACACAGTGCTCTGGTGTACCAGTGTGTTTTTGAAATACAGAAATTGACCTTGTCTGATGTGTTTATGTGAATCTCTTTTTTTTGCGGAGACTTTGCCTGAAGGACACAGCTGTACCTACAATCTTCTCTTCCTTTAAAGTCAAAAAACATCTTCCAAGAAGGAAAGTACAGGTCAGTAGGAATGACAAGGTAAGTGACAACCCCATTGGTTTTGTAAATAGTTTTGAGAAGGTTGCAGATGTAGAAGCAGGGGAAGACAGTGCCATAAAAGTTGCTGTTGATCTGAAGAGCCACCGCAAGAGGTCTTTGTAACTCAAAATGTAACACATGATGACATTCCTCTGCAAGCAGTTGAGTGTTATACTGCTCATTTTGGTCACAGTGTTCAACACTAGAATGACTCAGACTCTGGTCAGTTTAACACTGTGCCATTACAGCCGAATAGCATCCTGAGTGACCATTGCTATCAAGTCTCCCGAAACGCTTAAAAGGAGAGTTCTGTCAGCAAATGAAAAGGTATGTGTAGTTCGAAAGAAGCTTAGATTGGAATCCCAGCAGACAAGGAGACTGAAGGAAAGAATTTCTTCTTTGAAAAATGTCACCAAAATTCTTCAGAAGAAACTTCTAATATCAACTGAATGTGCCTCTCTTCTTGATGGTTTGGATGGTGTTCCAAAAGAGTTGTTTCAGAAAATGAATCAGAAGAAAAGATAATCTTTTTCTGAGAAAGTGAAGCAATTTGCAACTACGCTGCATTTTTACTCTCCTAAGGCTTATGAATATGCTAGAGAACACTTTCACTTGGCTTTGCCTCATCCGCAGACCACTCGCAACTGGTACAGTAGTGTTTCTGCAGATCCTGGTTTTACTCTTTCTCCATTTACAGATTTTAAAAGTTATGTTGTTGAGAAGAAGAAGGAAGGAAAAGAAACAGTTTGCTCTTTGATGTTAGATGAAATGTATATTCATGAGCAAACAGAGTTTGATGGGAACCAGATTCATGGCTATGTTGACATCGGAGCTGGTGTGATTGAAAATGTTGTTGCAACACAAGTATTGGTCATCATGGTTATTGCCATCAACGAGTCTTGGAAGCTCCCGATTGCCTACTTTCTTATCAACAACATGAATGGGAAAGAAAGAGCTAGCCTCATTCAAGAGAGTCTGTGTAGGCTTCATGACATTGGAGTTAGGGTTGTATCCTTGACAAGTGATGGCCCCTCCCAAAACATGGCCATGATCTGGGAGCTTGGTGCCAATCTGGACATAATGGACATGAGATCATTCTTTGTCCATCCAGCAGATCACACACAGAAAATTCATGTTCTCTTGGATCCATGTCACATGCTCAAGCTTCTTCGCAATGTCTTCAACTGTTAAAGTTATTGTTAGGGAAGATGGCCAGCTATTACGTTGGCAGTACATTGAGGAGATGCACAAGCTTCAGGAGAGGGAAGGCTTGCGTCTTGGCAACAAACTCACCTTCACATTCAGTGGCAAAATCAAAAAAATGAAGGTTCACCTTGCGGCCCAAATCTTTAGCAGGAGCGTGGCTGCTGCTCTTGAGTACTGCGAGCAACAACTGAGGTATCCACAGTTCAGTGGATGTGCAGCCACAGTTGATTTCCTGCGCACAGTTGATGCTGCTTTTGATGTCCTAAATAGCCGCAATCCACAAAAGGGCACAGGTAACTGTCTTCTTCGTGACAACACAGCCTTCCTTGACTCTACACTAGCAACTGTGAACATTGCACGCAGGTTGGATGTGGTGCCTGTAGAAGCACTTGTACCTGAAGATGACTCCATCTGTGATCTTCCAGAAGTCAACAACCTGTCTGAGTACAAGGAAGCAGCGATTTCTTACATCACTGGTTTCATTGTCAAAAAGTTGAAGCAGAAGATTACATGCATGCCTTGCTCACAGTAGGTATATATATAATAAAATGTCACCCCGAAATGCAACTTATAGTCCAGCGCAACTTATTTATGTTTTTTTCTTCTTCATTATACTTTTTATGCCTTGTGCGACTTGTACTCCGGAGCGACTTATAGTCCGGAAAATACGGTACGTTAAAAATATTGAATACTTGCTCAAAGTTAAATATATTTTCTTTAAGGAAATAACTCATAAACTTACCGATTTAATACTTTTTTATTCACAGAAAGATAGTTTTCATGAAAAAGCGCCTGCAAAACTCCACACAAACTCAGTGTGAGCTTCAGGTCACTGGTGTTCCACAGAGTTAGCTCCGGTTGTAGCTAGGTAGCTACCTCCATTAGCTTAGCTCCCACCTCCACGTTAGCTTTGGGTTAGCTTGTAGCTAGTTCGACCCGGTGTCGTCAGTTGATCCCAGCCTTACAGCCCCACCCTCTGCTCCACCTCTCTTCCCTTTTGTGGAATTATCTGGGCTTGACGGAACCTGTGACACGGTCAAAATGGCGGTGGTGGCCACCTCCCATTTTTCCTCAAAAACATGTTATTGGAGCCTATGGAAACCCAATGTCTATATGGGTATATATATATATATATATATATATATATATATATATATATATATATATATATATATATATATATATATATATATATATATATATATGTCGATGGTCATAACTGACAAAGCTCCTCAGACGAGAAGAGAAACATCTTCAAGAAACAAAAGAAGTCCAGCTGCCTTCATCTGAACCCTTTTGGATCACCATGACCTGGATGACTGAGAACCTTCACCAGCACTCTGCTGTAGACATCAAATTAAGGCTTTTAAGTGGTGGAATGATGGACATGACATCATTTTTATTTAAAGGGTTTTTGTTTAAACTTGCATTCATTACGCCTAGAGCTCTGTAACCAATCAGCTTGACTCTTTAACAAGACGAGGCTGGTTCCCGACGGATGTGGTTGAATGTCTGGATAACTGTCATTTGAAACCAGAGCTTCCTGTAACGAGACATCAGTAAAACACCATGAAAGGACTTCAGATCAGCTCACCATGTTGATCTCTGAGATGGTGTCGATGCTGGCGATGTCCAAACTCATGCCCACACTCACAGGCCCGTCTGAAAACAGGATTACAACTGGTTACTGGTTAGGTTCCTGGGAAAAGTCTCACTGGCAGCTAACCAGCAATATTTAAAATTTTTATATATGGTTTTGGCTAATATTCAGGTTTAAAGTCAGGCACATGGGCAGGCAGCACAGGGCCGCTGCACAAACGTATTTAAATGTATTTTTTTTACATTCTGGGTAAACCTCTGCTTCATAAATGCTCTAAAGCGTCATGGTCACCTGACCTCTGCTTCATATTTAACACCCGGTCTGTTTAAAGATGCATTTAACTTTTGTAAATGTTGCTTTTAACACTGAGCTCAAATGGTAAACGGCTTATGGCTCTACAACCCCCCAAGGTGCTTCACAACACAATCAGTCATTCACCCATTCACACGCTGGTGGTGGTGAGCTACGATGTAGCCACAGCTGCCCTGGGGCACCCTGACAGAGGCGAGGCTGCCGTATACTGGCGCTACCGGTGTCGGTACAAGATCTGCTCGGGTGCAAAATCGGCTCGGGGTCCTTCGACTGCCGATGACGTCAAAGTACGGCAAACCCACTCGGACAAAATACACTACACATCTATACTGTTGGAAATAATTTAGCAGTTTCGTTATTAAAATAATATTTCTTAAGACGTAAGTTTGTGCTTATAATGGTAATTGTAAAATAAAACACTATATTTTAGTCATAATGTTGAACTCCTCTTTGAGCACATCCCTTGAAGAATCATAGGTATTAGCAACACCTGTGAAATTGAATTTGCAGGAAAGAAGTGTGTCCCGTTTATTGAAGTATTTTGTGTTTAGAGTTTTTGACGTCTTGTTCATGCGTAGTTCAGTTACGCTCATTGCTGCTAGCCAAAACTCTGGAGTTAAAAGTTTTCTGGCTTTACTAAATTACCTGTCTGTACTTATTTGATTGATGGTAATTTTACTTTCTATTAGACTCCAAATGTAATCATTTGACACGTTTCTCATTCATAATTTGTAATAATGTAATCGGTGATATTAGCATTAGCATTCCTATGGGTTTTTCCATTGCGCTAACCACTCGCTGCCAAATTGCAGCCTTTGCAATTAGAAAATCTCCTTTTGTCACATCGCAATTTAATTGCACATGCAGTTAATCGTTCAGCCCTAATATACATGCAGCTCTAGGCTAAAAGTGTATTTTCAAAGAGGTAATGATGGATTTCTTTGTAAAAGTTGTCCATCTTTCCAACAGAAAGATTTGCCTGGACCAACGTAACGTGATAACAACGTAACGTGATTACGTAATTCCGTAAGGTTCATGTTCAGCCAATCAACTACTTAGAAGTCATCGGCAGTCGACGGACCCCGAGCCGATTTTGAACCCGAGCAGATCTTGTACCGACACCGGTCCTTCCTACCACCACCAACAGGCACCGTGGGTTAAGTGCCTTGCCCAAGGATAAAACAGCAGCATTATCTGGTCGAGCCGGGGTTGAACCTGCAACCTTTCGATTACCGGACAACCCGCTCTACCTCCTGAGCTGCTGCTGTCCTATGTACCCTCAAAGGTAAGACTCAACTGCTGGCAAGACTCAGGGTCACAAATGTGCATCAGCTGCTGTTATCAGATGTTCTTCAGCATGTAGAGGAGGAGGAAGCATCCAGACGTTAGCTAACCGTGGTCTGCTGTTGTCCCGATTCTCCAAGTGGTGCTCCGCTTTCCCTCACGGTCAAGTGGATTTTAAACACATTCATGAAAGGCTTCCTTAAAGTAATTCTGCTGCTGCTAGCATGAATTATTGATGGTGCGTTCACAGACCTGGGAAAATGTCCGTATTTTTTTTCTGTGGTTAAAAAAATAAATAAAAATAACTACTGAACTTGGATTTCAGACACTGAATAAAGGATGAAGCAGAATGTCATCTGATTCTGATAATCAAACAGTTAATATTGTGAATATTTTACTCAGAATGAAGCAGTGTCACGTTGGAAGCCAGGAGGAGGTTAGGACCTAAAGATGCAGAAATTCCAGATGACAACAGGGTTGAGAAATACTGTAAAATCCTTTATTAAAGAATAAGTCCAAAAAGGCAGGGAGCCAAAAACAAAAATCAAAAAGTCCCAATAACAAAACCTAGAGTATCCAAAACGTACGAAACAAAAATCTAGAGAGGGGAATGAGACAAGGGTGACACAAACAATGACCCAACGACACACCGAGACGCAGACAGGGTTAAATACACTGGGACATGAGTGGAAGATCAGCTGCAGGTGCGTGGGGAGAGAAACCTAGTGAAACCAATCAACTAATCAAGGAGAGGAAACTAACATGACCTAAGAGCAAACACAAAACCTAAAGACCAGAAGAGCAAGCTAAATAACTAATTTTCTAAGGGTGAAGGAAAACTACGAAAACCGGTGGGGAAAGAAACACAATAAAGAGACTAATTAAATGAAAAGCTGAACCTATAGAAAAACTGCAGAGGGGTGACTAGGGGAAACCAAAGGAGCACAGGACCTGGGGGCGGATAGTCTGGAGGGCTACAGACCAGGGGACACATGAGGAACACAAAGAGACACATAAGGGTATCCTTAGAGGGGGATGGAGCACACAAGTAGACACATGAGGGAGACGCAGACCATGACAAGCGACTTTGAATCACACATTATAAAAGACGACAGCAGTAAATGATAAAAAGGGTCATTCTAGTGAAATCTCAAGAGTTGTCAGAAGTTATATAGTTAGTAGTGAATCATTTACTAATTAGGTTCATTCTGATTTAGCTGCATAAATAATCTGATGGGTCTTTTCTTACTGAAATCTTCTGGTTTTGAGTGACTTCTACCTTAGAATATGTGAATATCAGCATAAAATAGATGGAGGAGACAAGAAAGCTGAGATCTGTGAGACGAAGCCCTCCTGTGAGGCGTTTGTTTCCCTGGAGTGTTCCGTCATCTCCATGCCTGCACAGTTTCTTACTGTCAAAAAAAGGCCGGAGGTACTTGTTGTATCCTTTCATCAGCCTCTGAATGGTGGGAGGCAGAATCTCTCCTTCCTTCACTTCAGCGCTGAGCAGCGAGTTCTCCAACAACCTGAGAACACAGACAGAGGCAGAAAACGCTGGAACAAAAGTAGATTCTGGTTAGGGGGTCTGTGTGTGTGTGTGTGTGTGTGTGTGTGTGTGTGTGTGTGTGTGTGTGTGTGTAAATCAGGCTCGAAACACACAGTAGCTCTGCTCAGAGAAGCCCCCCAAGGCCCATGCGGTGATGTAAGAGACGCAAGACGGATCGGGCCGCATGCTCCAGATGCTGGCAGTGGGCTCACTGGTCTTAGAAGAAGAGATGAGAGATTTTACTCTTCATCCTCCTAACATTAACACCTTCATGAGTCATGCATCCTCAGCATGTGTGAAACCATGAGAAATGAAATTAATTGCCCTATGGTGGGAAAATTACTGTAACCAAATGAAATAAATTAGGTCAACATGATTAAAGTTCCAGTCCCAAAAGAGCTCAGCTGTTCCTCCTGCTCGACAGGTTGCTTTTGTTACGTTTCTCTAGACCCATCCATCTATCCATCCATCTTCTGAACCCGCTTTGTCCATGCAGGGTCGCGGGGGGGGGGTGCTCCTGGTGCCTATCTCCAGCAGTCAACGTGCAAGTAGGCGGGGTACACCCTGGACAGAGAGCCAGTCCATCGCAGGGCAGTTTCTCTAGACCCATAACACTTTAGTGTTGGGAACACAAATTAACCATTAATTAGCTGTCAATTAAAATGCATATTAATGGACTGCGATTAGTGTTGTTTGTGTGCATGTTGTTCAGTAGCTAATTCCATCATTAATATCATCTGGTTGTTTTCATAAGCCTTACACACTGTGCGTGATGCACATTTGGGGAGCGCAGGCACTGGTTTAGCGTGAGATATTGGAGGTGTGGCGTGAGAGCATGTGAAGAGGGTCAAATGCGTGTGTCACGCTCAGTGCGTGAGAGTTGGCAGTTCTGTGTTCTACCGAGGCATGTGTTTTTCATTTGTTAGCCGTTTAGCTAGCTGAGCAAGGACACACGGGAGATGTCTTGTAGCCTAGCCTTGGCCAAAATTTACCCACAATACACCATGGTATTTTCAAAAGGACGGCGGAACAGAAGCCGGCAGCTACTTCGGGGACAATTTTCAAGTTTAAAAGTAAGTCAGCTAATTTAAAATGTTTATTTTAGATCCAAAGAAGTTATCTATGGTTGGTTAGTTGCTTAGTGGTTGTAGCCTCGATGGCTAGCGGGTAGTAACTCGCTTATATTTTTAATTTAATAAACAAATACACAATTTTTAAAGTAAAAGGCTCGTTATATATTTATATTGAAACTAATACATATAAAATATAACGTTATCTCCCGTGTCACGTGACGTTACGTGACCGCCGTGGAAGCCGCGGTCACGTGATGCAAGTCTGTTCCATTTAACCGTTTTCTTTGACCAAGGAAGGACAGTGTCCTCATAAGCAAGGCGCCTGGCCTCGCAAGACATCACCTCACAAGGCCAGGTGCCTTGACATTGAGAAACACCCATGAACTGACAGCCGGGTTTGGGGTCGGTGAGTGGTGTAGTACCGCGAGCCTCCGCTGGATGACTCTCATGAGCTAAAACCCATGAGGGAGGGGGTGAGTGAGTTGTATGTCCTCTGACTGAGCCCAGCTACAGAGGGATTCGTTCATGCTACGATTAGCACCGCTAGCTAGCTCTCAGGAAGGGAGGGGGTGAGTGACACAAACGTGGTGTTAGCAAATCTATGCTACTGTGAACTAATGAGCTTAATCAATTTCCCTCTGGGATTAATAAAGTACTTTTGAATTGAATTGAATTGAATTCCAGCCCAGAACAGGTAAGAAAAAGCTTTTGTTGACCAACTTGTTGTTGTTTTAGGAACAATTTTAATAATGAACCAGATATATTTCTACTAGCGAAATTAGTTTGCAAACAGTAACAGGCATGAGTCAGTTAATGAGTCAGTTGGGGTCGTGAATCATGGTTCGTGAGTCAATAAAGTGATTCTCGAGTATAGGGAGCCTAACGTCCTTCTACTTCCGGAAAAAAAATGAATGAATGCAAGTCAACGGGGCTAAAAACACTCTTTTTCTAATTCCACTTGTTTTGTTCCATGGATTTCACATATGACGTCCATGAATTTTAAATACCCATTTTGATACCAAGAACTCGCTTATTTTCGAACAGGGGGGAACGTTATTTTAGTTTTTGTATGAAGATAAGTCCAGGACTAAAAATGTGCATCATGAAAGTGACATCATCGAACCAGACATGGAGAAAAACAGGGAAATCAGCCATAAGTTCAGAAAACTTCAAATCCTTCCTTCAGGAGGAAAAGAAATCACCATAAATCTGGTCATGTGGTGAGTAGCAGCTACGCTGAGGGGAGGAGACTCTGTGGTGATGTCACATATGTCTAATTGTAGTCATGCTAATTACGAACTCTTACAAGCTGATACATCTCAAAGTATGTGACTGGTGTGGTCGAAACACCATCATTAGTTTTCATTTTAATAGAAGTACAACATGTGTGATCCAGGGTCTGCGGGTTAGAAAATAACTCTTTTAGCTCTGTTGACTTTGCTGTCTTTGCTTTATCAAGGAGCAAAACTCCCAAAAACCACAGGTGATGAGATCTTAAACCACCAACCTGCATATCCACACTTTGTTGTTTAGGTTCCTCCAGAGGTTCTGGATACGCTTAACGTCGGGGACACACCGGCCGCGGAAGCGCCGTGAAGCGCCGAGAAGCGCCGAGAAGCGAATCGCTCACGAAATTCGGCCGCTGCTCGCCGCTCCTCAGTTCAGATCAGAGGCGCGCCTCGGCTCAGCTGTAGTTTTTCTTTTAAACACTTGGTGTCCTCCATTTCCTCTCTGCCTTTTCTCAGCTCTTTTCCTCTACGTTTGAGTGTTTGTACGCGCGCGCGTGTGCGTGTGTGTGTGTGTGTGTGTGTGTGTGTGTGTGTGTGTGTGTGTGTGTGTGTGTGTGTGTGTGTGTGTGTGTGTGTGTGTGTGTGTGTGAACCTATGGTATGAGTTGTTTCTGCCAGTTGAATCTCTTGGAACCCGCTCCAATTCTGCAGCTGTATCCTAGCAGTTTTTTCCGAAATGGGTACGTAAATAATCATGTTTTTCTGGGGTCGTACAGCTCCTTGTGCTTCTCAACTTCCATAACTGATTTAAAGTCATCCATCCTAACTGCTTGCCTCAGACTTTCTGCCTCTCTGTCCTGTTTGCTCCGGTGAAAAGACACCCAAAACCGCACCCCCCCTTCACGCGGTCACACACGCACACAAGTTCGATGTGTGTGTATGTGTGTGCGTGTTCGTGTGGTTTTTCTGCAGTGTCTGTTTACGAACACATTTGACTATTGCGGAATTTTATTTTGAAATGCTTTATTTTGTTAACTTTACGGGCCTGCCTCTTATGTCTACGTTTGACTTCCTGCCAGAATTGACGCGATTCACCCGCAGCACGCGAAAAAAATTGAGCCAACGCCGAAATGATCGCTGCACGGCGCGGGCTGGAGCGCCGGCGCGAGGCGATTCACGGCGCTTCGGCGGCCCATGTGGTCTATAGAATAGCTTAACAAGGGCGCCGAATGAAGGCGGTCCCATTTTCGCGGCGCTTCCGCGACCGGTGTGTCCCCGGCGTTAATCTGGATTCTTGTTGAATCTTCAGAATTTTTAGGTTAAGGTTATTAGGGCTTGAAATACAGCTAACCTGGTCACGTTTTTAAAAAGGAAATTACAAACTAAATTAAAAAAAGGTTAGAAATAAGCTAAACTGAAATAAAATGAAAAAATTCTAGAAATTAAAATAAGTTTTAAAAATAAAATAAACCAAAAGCCTACAAATGAAAAGTTAAAGGTTTAAAATGAGTTCCTGTTAGTTACTGACGGAAATGACTGACCCCTACCACCACAGCCTGTATGTCCCTCTACTCATTTGGGCTGTAGGCCATGTGAATGTGGTGGAGAAATGGCTTCAGACACGATGACAGGGTAGCTAGGATGGAGAGACTCGACCCCCGTGGCACGATTTGCCTTTTCATATTCCTTTGCATGACAGAGTCCCCCATCACATCCACTTCCCCTACTTCCCAGTCTCCAACGCATACAAGGCATGAGTCCAGCCAGGCCGTGTGCATTTCACAACAAATTAATTCAGCTGAGCGTAACCCCTGCAGAGAGCTGAGTGATGCTCTCAGTGGACTCCCGTGTCCCTGTTCTTGTGCCGTACACTTCCCGCTCATAAGAGTGTTTGTTTCAAAACAGCTTCTTGATTTTTTCCCTTATTCCCTCTGGCTTCCTGGCCTCCTTCTGATGACCGTATGAGCCGCCAAAATACACGAGGACATCAGCACACCTTTCAGCTCGAGCTGTGTGTGTGTGTGTGTGTGCACGCGCACGCACATGTGTGTGCTCTTGCATTTGCTCTTCTTTCAGTCTTATTTTATATTTCAGTCTTTCCATATCTTGTAATTTCTTCTACCAATTTGTTCCATTCTTCTTGTGTTGGTGAGTCAGGTTGAAGCAACTTTCTGGTGATTACCTTCTTAGCTGCTGTAAGAAGGGTCCTAGTCAGGTATTGGTCTTCTTTGGATAAGGTTTCTTGTATGTAACCCAAGTACATCACCTTAAGTTTGTGGAAAGGATATCCCAGTATATTAATAATGTTTCAGAATATGTGTGTATGATTCTGATTCATAGTCACATTTCTCCAAAATTGTAGTTTTTTTGTACACGTTTACTTTAGGTGTAATAAAATAGCATCTTTGGTTTAGTCATGCAAACGCTCCGTTTTTGTGATTGTGTTGTAGTCATTTGTGATTTTCACATCTTAGACCATTCTGCCTCTGAAATGTCTTCTCTTATTTCTTTCCCATTTTCCTTTTAAATATAATGTTGATTGATTCAATAGTTCCATTAAAGTTTAGTAAGGGTGTTTGTCAGGAGGGGTCAGAGGTCAAGCCCACCATATTGTACCGTGAGCCAAGGCCTTGAGATTTAACACCTAGAGTTAGCCCGGTGGCTTGGCTTACGACAGTT